GTGTTTCGCATTACACTGGCAGTCTTTGTGGCTAGAAACATAGCAGGGCATAACATAATGGATGCTTATGTTAATTATATCTGTTGTTGTTGTTGTTATGTGCCGTGGAATCGGTTTCGACTCATAGCAACCCTGTACAGGATTTCCGAGGCTGTAAATCTTTATGGGAGCAGAAAGCCTCATCTTTCTCCCACGGAACAGCTGGTAATTTCGAACTGCTGACCGTGAGATTCGCAGCCTGATTCGTAACCACTATGCTACCAGAGCTTCTTAATTATATGTTAAGGTGGAGAAAAAGGCAGCTGGAGAGAGGAAGAGAATTGTTCTTTGCTGCAGTTGACAGATCCCTGGCTTGTAGAGATCTCATGGATAATGAAGGAAACACCTCCTGGTCCTGCACCATCCTAGTGATTAATTGTGAATCGGACTGTTTGTCATTCATATGGTTTTCACTGAATGGTGTTTGAAGGTAGATCACCAGGTCTTTCTTCCTAGTTTACCTTAGTCTGGAAGCTCCATTGAAACCTGTCCTTCATCACAGTAACACACAAGGCTCCATTGACAGACGATGTTATGCTTGAGGTACACTGGCTGGGAATCAAATCTGGGTCTACCATATGGAAAGCGAGAGTTCTACCATGGATCCTCTACTGCCCCAATATCTGGAATAGGATTGCAATGAGCTGGGGCAAGACTGCCTTCCCAATGATGCTTCCCAGGTACATTAATGACCACAGTTCTTTCCCCTGAGTGTTAACTCTGCCTCAAATTCCTTCTCACCAGTGTCCCTTGCAGACAGAGTGGACAGAAGAGAAGAAATTTATTTGCTATCCTTGATGCAGAGTTGTTTGCTGCCATAACACTGATAATCCCATTTACCTAAGCCTGCTTCTCAGAAGTAGGTGAGCACTTTAAAAAAACATAAAACAAACCCAAAACAGCAACCTATGAACAAGATAAGGTTTTAAAAAATGCAGCTTGTTTTATTTTTATACAAACTAAAACACCAGAGTTCATTGATTCCTATATTAAATACATAAATTATAAAATAACCATTCATAAAACTTTACATACAATAAGTTGTTTCCAAGCTCTACGGTAATACATACATGTACATATTCAGTGTACTTCAGAGGATCATTCTGGTGAAATTTAGCCAAATTTTGATATGTTTTCAATTAAGAAACAATGTATGGAATCATGCTAATGATATGGGACAGAAAAATTCCCCAACTAAACTGACTGGATAAAAGCTGTGAGGAATTGGCCTCCTGGTTACATTATACAGTAAACAGCTCAGGGATCACGGACTTAAACACATTCGCTCTATACTTGAGTCCCCATAGAATTGGATCTTGAACTCAAAAACATGCATGGGCTCTTCTTGGGACTGGATTTTTAGCTGATAAAAATATGGGACTTTTGGTTAATATTAATACTGTAGATTGTGTTGGACTTTCCGTTGTTCTTCTCAAAAAAAAAAAAAAAAGGCGTAGTCATAGCCTGGTTTTTGTAGGTCTGGATTACTCAAAAACATGAACAATTTTCAACTTCAGTCAAAAGCAGCATATAATGATGAACGAAAGGTGGGGTAGGAGAGAGAAGAGGCAGGCAATATAAGGAAATGTACAAACAGATGCTAAACAAAAGCTTGAGTTATCCAGATGCATTAAAATAAAACATCATCCCTTAGGTCTTCAGTCCTAGGACAGAAGTACCCAGTAAGAACTCAGACATCAGAGTATGTACAGAATACATATGTGTGTATGTACATCGCATATTAATAAAAGTGTTTGGATATCGATCTGCTTCACCGTGGGAAGTTGTGACTGATATGGTTAAATAGGCACATATTTTTTGAGATGTTGGTCAAATAGAAATGATTGCTGTTATTAATGGAAGATGGGGACTTGCTTTTGGTTGGGAAATTAACACCATTCACTGTTCCACAAGTTTTTGGAGTCCTGATAGTAGGCAAAGCTGGACTCAAAGTTGTTTATACATACTGCTCTCATACTACAGAGCTTTGCATACAACAGGGATGGAAATATAATCATGTGTATGAAAACATCAATGCAAAAAAAAAAAAAAAAATTCTCAACCAACCTGTACTTTCATGCTTGATTCACTAATATGACAAATTATAATTCTTCTTTTGTTACATTGCCCCTTTACACAAGCATTTAGTAAGTCTGATTAAACATTGCATTTGGACTCTGAACAACATATTTATTTAGGAAGAATTCGGTTACCACAGTGAATTCACCAAAGGAATGAGAATCTGCCCTGCCCAGCACTGGAAGGAGTAACAGAATCTGGCCTTTGGAAAGGCTGTATGAGGATCGCGTAGAATCCTCCATTGCATTTGAACCCTCTTGTCAACATGCTGTACAGAGACAGCAGCACAGTAGAACAGAGTGAAAACTTTCCTCCTTCAAGTACTTGTGACAGACATTTTCTCCCATTAGAAAGCACACAATCACAATGTAAAAATGGGCTTGGGCCCATTCTGGAAGCATTAACTCATAAAATTAACAAGTTGTCTAAGATTTTCTTATTTACTGATGTCACTAGGAAGTTATATGGAACTTTTTCAATATAGTATGTAAATCTAAATGATTGAAGTTATCAAATGAATTTAAACTGCCAAAAGCTATGTTTATAAAATTTTTGTTATAAAAATTTCACAAAGGGGCAATAAGCAGTACAAACCCCAAATGTAACAAATTCCAATTCTGTCACGTGTATGTCTATATCGTGTGTCATTCTTTGACACACCAAAAGGATGCATTTAAGTATCTAACAAAATCTGTATGCGGTCCATCCATTTTGATGTTACATAATACATGACTCAATTACTTAAACATCAACAGAAATCTGATGAAATGTCTTTTATAGTTTCCAGGAAAACTCAGGCAGGTTAAAAAGACATACTTCATTTCAAAACAATGAACATAATAAATTGCATTGTAGACAGTGAGCATATGAACTATGCTAAGAGAGTATAAAAAAAAAAAAAAAGTTGACAATAAACAGGCAAAAGGAGATTGTTTGCCAGATGTGAAAATAAAGTAAGTTAAAATAAAATACTGTAGTAAAAATTATTTGGCAAAACTTTTATTTCTCCTATTCCTAGTGGAAGACAAATACCCTCTTTTTGGCCCAGTGATAACACATATATATTCTCTACATCCTACTGAGTTGGGAAAGCCATACCACCAGTGTGAACAAGGACAAGAAAAATCAAAGCAGAGCTTCTGTGGCTAAAATTTCACTACTGGCAATTGATATGCTGAAGGTTAAAAAGAATCTAATTTCTTTATCCAACAAGTTCTATTGTTTTGTAAAATAAAATTTGGGTAGAATTAAAAAAATTAAGTCCATTTAGTGTTAAGATACTTTCTAGTATGGAGTCCTGGTGTGGTGTTATAGGATAAGGATTAGACTGCTAACCAGCCACTCCCTGGAAACCTTATACAGGATTGTAATGAGTTAGAACCAATTCAACAGCACTAAACAACAACTTTCTAGCAGGGTGCCAAATATAGTCTCCATTTTTTTTTACCCCCTTTCTCTAGGACCATTTCCTGTCTTGAATAACTGGAAAATTGGGGCTGTCACAGATTTAGATATTTTAATATTGTTAATTGTTTTTTTCCCCCTTTAGTTAAGATACTTTGTTAAGAAAAGTGAAATAATTGAGCCTTGAAGATTGCTGCTTTGTCTGTTACTAAATCATAGGTCAAATGTGTCAGGATGGCAAATGTAGACATTACAGATTACATTGCAGACTCTCTGCTCCCATTCAGAAGTAGAGCCATATAGACCTCTGCATTATTACCAAGACATTATCTTTTACTATTGCTGAATACCATATGAAAGGGAAGCATTCATTGAGATATGGTCCATTTCCGTGGATCCATGAGTAACTGGTACATTCCTTTACAATTCTGTAGCTCTGATGCTTTCATAATTATAGAAATGGATCACAGAGAGAGAAGTTTACAAAATATTTAGTTTCATCAATGATATGCCAATATTGAGGATCATGAGCAAGATCTGGTTAAAAATCTCATTTTTCTGGCCTGCAAGCTAGAGAGATTTGTTAACTATTTTGTTTAATAGTAGCATCTTTGTGGCAAACCCAACTTTAAGTGGCTTATCACTTCTATATCAAAGTTTAATAGATTGTTTTATATACAAACCACATAACATGTAAATTAAACAAAAGAATCCTTCCTTTTGCGTTTTCCTTAAGCACATCTAAAACTGAGATGCCCATCCGTGCCGTTGTTGCTCTTAACTGATTTTGTTTGTGTGATACGGTCAGATTTTTAGGAGATGATGATTAAACATTTAAAACTATTTGAAACACAGTTATTGGATATAAAATTTTAACCTATGTTTTTAAGGGGAAGGAGTAAGATGAAGAAAGGCAAGGTGTATTTAGTGAAACAGATGGAGTGTGGATTCACTCAGATAGGTCCTTGAATGATGAGGGAAGGGCAGTGGGAGATTAAAGTTTAAGATATAGGAGAGTAGTTTCTCCTATTCTGTATTTCCCAATTGAGGTTTTCTTCAGTTGACTCACAGACTCTGCAGTGGCACCCCAGTTTACATTGCTTACACACTGAATACAGACTGCAATCTATCAGACAAAGAATCCAACAGGCTAGTTCTGTTTTGTATGTGAAAAGGATGAAATGGATAATCAGGCTAATAATGTGATACTTGCTATTAGTTCACTACAATCTTTAATTTCATGGCCAGCTTTTATATGATAAAAGTGGAGTTCTGTTTTACGGCATGCATAGACACTTGTTGTTATGTGCCGTGGAGTCAGTTCTGACTCAGCGACCCTGTACAGGGTTTTCAAGGCTGTAAATCTTTACGGGAGCAGAAAGCCTCATATTTCTTCTGCGGAATAGCTGGTAGTTTTGAACTGCTGACTTCGAGGTTAGCAACCCAATTCGTAACCATTATGCTACCAGAGCTCCTTAAGGAGAGCTAAAACATACTTGTCATTGACAGGACACGCTCTTCTATTTTGTTCAATAACATGGTATGATTTACTGGCTATAGATGATTAGAGATGCAGGCTCCAGATCGCTCTACCTTTTTTATTGCTAGTGATGTTCCAGGTAGCTTAATGGGAAGCTTCAGTGCTATGGGGCCTAGATTTAATCAAACTGAAGCACTGATTTTATTACACAGGGGATCTTTTTCAACAACAGAACAATCAAATAATAAGCAATCATAGTAATTACAAAGCACTTTGTGCTACTTTAAGCACCTCGTTTCAGAATTGCAAAAACTTTACGAAAAAGCCTTTTAGCCCATTTTGCAGATGAGGAAACTGAGGCACAGAGGTTAAGTGATTGGGCCAAAGATACCTGGGTCAGCAGTAAATATAGTAACAAAAAAAATGGGACCCTAGAATTCTAGTTTTTCGTCTACATTCTTCAGCTAATATTCTGCCTTTGAAAATGCTAGTGTAAAAACCAGAGACTAAGATACTGTGCCCACATATGGAAAGATAAATGGAGCATTTCATAGAAAGAGTTTCTGGCTCCTAACCCACATTCTCTATGTATGGAAATTCTAGCCCCATATTTAACACCTTGAAAATTGGAAAAAAAAATTGAGGTTGTTTTGTTATCTACAGTGAATGAGGTGTAAAATTACCTTTTCAGAAACACTTAATTGCTTTCAAAGTTGAACCCAAGACTCATAGTTATATAATTTAGGAAAAGTACCATTCTTCTAATTGTCTCTGGTAGAAAACTACCTCATCAGTAATTTAATGTTACTTCTGTGTAAAAAAAGTAGAGCTATCTTGTTGCTTTCAGCTATCTGGGGGAAAAAACTATTATTCTACAAAGACAAGAAGTCAAAATGCTCTAGGCATATCAGGATACTTAGAAAAATCACAATTTAGTTAATGTTCGCATATCTGTGAGAAAGCCAACTTTTGGTGGAAGTTTATCACCTCTATTGTGTTTTTTAAATCCAAATCAAATAACATATTCACTAGCAGACATTTTAAGCAGCCATTTGAAATTCAGTTCTTTTGAAAACGAACAGATTCAGAGTTGTTCTCTACTCTTGTTCCCTATGTATATTGGTACTCTTAAAAACTAAGTCAGGGAGCTTGCGATTTAGAGTATCATCTTCTTAATTTTCAATATGAATGAGATCAGTCTGTTTATAGAGGAACACAGATGTGAGAGAAGGCCAAAGAAGCAGAAACTCTGCCTTTATTTATATTATGTTCACTTGGTTCATTTGCCTTGCTTGGGGTCACTGTGATCCACTTCTCATCTGTCACTTGTGGAATGCATTCCACAAGCTCCACCTTTAGTAGAAAACCGAACTGGACAGTGCTGTTCTTCCCATTCACATTGTAGACGTCTGTTCCTGAGTTTAAAACAACAATAAAGACAGAAAGCAAATCCCTGTAGTAAGAAACCAGACTTTTCAATTAAACATTTTATTGTAAATAACTCCTCATAGTTATCCCTCGTGCTTCATTCCCCACCCACCCTGTTTATTTATTTTTGTTTAATTTTAAAATGATGTTTATTTTCAGGACTAGTGTTTCCATGGGGTGTGGTGTTACATTAAAATGACCCCCCTGCACAGCAGGGGTAGAAATGTTTCATTGTAACTTTGGTTCCGTGCCCAAGACAAATCTTTGCTTGATCTGCTGAAACTGATTTCCTTGCTGTATTTTCTTTATACAATATATGTTTATAGCTCTTTTCTTCTGGTTTGACATATACATGTTTCATTAAATGCAGCATATATTGTAGATTTTTGACAGGGTCATGTAGGAACTGTCAAGTAAGAAACCTTGAATAATGGCTTTAAAATACACAGCTGTAGTCCTGGCTACTGAGTAGTCCTTAGTTTTGGATCTCCCTCTCACTGGTGTAAACAATTTGCCATCTCTGAAGGTTTGGAAGCATATGCCTTGCTAAGGTGTTATCCATGTTGTCGGTAACTCTGTAAAACAGAGGGAAAGGTTTTTTAGTTATAACTTCTGCTAATAGCTGAATCAGAAAAGAAAATCTTTAAAACACTATTCTTTATCACCTTTTCAAGCTATACGGTCTTATGCAAATTATATAACCTCTCTAATGCTAGTGGTGCTGTAGGAAAAGCACTAGAATGCTAACCACAATGTTGGCAGTTCAAACCCACCAGCTGCTCCTTGGAAACCCTACATAGTTGGAACCGACCCAACAGCACATGAAAACAACAACACATGTTAGTTATTTCAATTTTAAATGAGAAAATATAACTATTTCACATATTGTTACAATTTAACACAGATTTTGGTTCAAATTATAGTTACTGTATTTCCCTCTGGAGCCTTCCAAGGCTGTGTAGTAAGAGGCTCTATTGACTCACCATGCCCCAAATTACCTATGTAAGATGTCATTTTAAAAGGAAGCCTGCCTACACTCTTCCTCCCCCACATTGCATACTGCAGACTATTTCCACTCCAAAATCTTGACTGGAGGATTCCCTGGGAATTTAGCTACAGGGTTTTCCTTGTTGGCACAGAGATATATCAGAAAAGGCGCTATCCCTAGACTCCACTTGTCAGGACTCCTAGTTCTGTTCTCTTTAAGGCTATCTATCTGCATTGCCATACTCATAAGGAATCTGTACACAGATGAAGAGGCAGGTATTAGAACAGCAATAGGCTAATGAATGGTTTAAAATCAGGAAAAATGTGCACCAGGGTTGTATCCTTTCACCCTATTTATTTAATCTGTATCATAAGCAAATATTCCAAGAAGCTGGACAACATGAAAAAGAATGTGACCTTAGGATTGGAGGAAGACTCATTAACAACCTGCGATATGCAGATGTTACATCCTTGCTTGCTGAAAGTGAAAAGGGCTTAACATACTTACTGATGAAGATCAAATACTATAGCCTTCAGTATGCATTGTACCTCAATGTAAAGACATAGAAAATCCTCAAAACTGGACCAATAAATAACATCATGATAAATGGAGAAAAGACTGAAGTTGCCTAAGACTTCATTTTGCTAGGATCCACAATCAACACTCAAGGAAGCAGCAGTCAAGAAATCCAAAGACATATTGCATTAGGCAAATCTGCTTCAAAAGACCACTTTAAAGTGTTGAAAAAGAAAGATGTCAGTTTGAGGACTAGGTGCACCTGACCCAAGCCATGGTGTTTTCAATAGCCTCATATGCATGTGAAAGTTGGACAATGAATTAGGAAGACCACAGAAGAATCAATGTATTTGAGTATGGAGTTGGAGAAGAATATTGAAAGTACCATGGACTATGAGAAGAACAAACAGGTCTATGTTGGGAGAAGCACAGCCAGAAAGCTCCTTGGAAACCAGGATGATTGAAAGTTCATCTCTTATACTTCAGACATGTTATCAGTTCCTGGAGAAGGACATTATGCTTGGAAAAATGGAAGGTCAGTGAGAAAAAGGATGGGTGGGCACCGTGGCAGCAGCAACGGCTCACATGCAACAACTGTGAAGAGGGCACAGGACCAGACAGTACTTCGTTCTGCTGTGCATACGGTCATTATGAGTTGAAATCAACTCAACAGTGCCTAACAACAACAGCAACAATCTGGTTCCCACTCAGGTAGAAGCATAAGGCAGAAGATCTCTTCCAACAAAACCTTAGACATGAAATGCCACGGAGGACATTCTTTCATGTGCTCTGTAAGGTTGTGGTCATCAGAGTATAAAAGATATGAATCAAGGAAATACGATTTTCACTTTTGTCTGTGTGCCCATGGAGAAGCCATTTAACTTCTCTACACCTCAATTTCCCGTCCATAAAATGACTATTTATATGCAACAGGACTTCACTAGTGCCCCTGAAGTGGCGAGAAAGATCCAACATTGAAGAAAAGGAGGCACATTTTTTTTCTTTTAATGCTTACAAAGTCATTTTTTTCCTGAAATCTCAGACTAAACTAGATTGGAATGAAAGAGTGGCAGATTCATGGAGGAGAATCAGTAAAAAGAAGTGCAGTTATTGCAGTCAGTAGAGAGAAAAATCAGTAGAAAGAGGTGCAGTCATTGGAAAGTGATGGCAGGGCAGAAACAGAGGAAGTAGTGAGCAGTTAGTTGTCTCTTGTGTAATGAAGAGTTATCCTTACCCATACAGTGGTCTGACCTTTGCCCTTGGCTACTAGAATGGGTTCTCTAAGCTTCTGGAATGTTCATTCTAATGACTTTCTTTGTTTGCCTGGAGGCTTTGGCCACTGGATAGTCTAACATTATGATTTATGATGGGGGCTTTGGGCTATGCTGTTAGTTCCTTCTTACAGAGAAACAATGAAACTAAAGTTACTAGCCCACAGTTCAGGAGGGGCTGTAGACTAACTGTCATTTATGTGACAGTATGTGGTTGAGCATCAATTAAGAACTCTAAATATATCAAAAGTTTAAGAGAGCTTCCCTGGCTGCCGAGTTTCTGTGTATATTGTAATATACCAATACTGAGAAAGTGATGCTGTTGTAATCCCATGAAGAGCGTAAAATGGGAACTCCACACATGGTATTTCTCCTGGATTCTGCCTGTGTGTCCCCCTTTCTTTGGCTGATTTTAATCTTTATCCTGTCTCCATAATAAACCACAACCAGGAATATAATAGCTCTCAGTGATTTATGTGAGTCTGTGGCATATAGGATCAGCACTGAGAGCAAGGTCGGTGCAAACCACAGGGTCAGTTGTTCAAACTCACCAGCTGCTCCTCAGAAACCCTACACATGGTTGCTATGAGTTGGAACTGAGTCTATGTCACGTAATAACTAGCAAATTAATGAATGGAAGGTGGTTTGGGGAAGTATGGACAATGCTATCTAACTCTTCTCATCCCTTTGGCACATATTTCATCCCAAAGGTCCCGCAATCAGCTGTGCAGAGTAGCACCCATGATAGGACCCAGAGTGCATCTGGAACAGGGTGGTCCTCACTGAATTAGAGAACAGTGGTGTGGGCAAGTCTCGCTTGGCTTTCTGAAGAACTCACACATAGGTCCCCCAGAAAAGCCAGGTTTTGGTGACCTCTCTTAGAAAAGACATCAAGAACTGGTCAGTGATATCGAGATAAACAGCATCGACCATGAGAGACAGGGTTATAAGCACCACCAATGGAATAGGAAACATGTACCCCTTGAGCTCTTGGCCTCCCTTGCCCTCCCGTGGAACTGGGTCTTGAATAAGGAACATAAGAGGGCTCCAGAGCTGGAACATGACTCACTTCCTCCAGAAGGATACCTGATTTAAGTCTAAGGTAGGATAATGGAGAAAATGAGATTGAGTTTATAAACTAGGATGTACTTTTCAGAACAAAAGTGACTGTAAAGTTAGGGAAACTATCATTATAAGAGGGAGAAAGAACTTAGGTGAGAGAGATCCTTTGAGAAAAACAGATTGAGTTCACGTTTCTAACCTACTGAACTGTGAGCCTGAAAGAAGTAGTTACAAAGATAATGCTAGTAGGATTAAGTAGTGATGCAATGGGTAAACTCTCAGCGGGTACTCAAAAGATTGCCAATTCGAACTCAAAAGAGGCTTTGTGGAAGAAAGACCTGGTGATCTGCTCCCATCAATTTTACAGTCTGGAAACCATGTGGAGCAATTCTAATCTGTTCTATAGGGGATGTGGTGGCTCTGAAGGATAAGCACTGGGACTGTAAGCCACAAGATCAGTGGTTCGAACCACCAGCTGCTCTGAGGGAGAGAGATGAGGCTTTCTGCTCCAGCAAGGATTTTCAGTCTTGGCAACTCTACATAGAGTTGCAATCAATTTACAGCAATTAACAACAACAACTTAGGGTGTCTATGAGAGGAAACAGATTTGTCAACATATAAGAACAATTCCAGTGAATACATGAATGTATGTTAAGAGCCTATCACATAAGCAACTAAGCATTGATAAAAATTTAGAATTTATGATAATTTATAATATTCCTCTAATCCCAAGTAAAGAATTGATTTGAATGTATAGAAAAGACTCTTTAAAGTATGTGTGTGTGTACATAAAATAAACATAAAACCAAAGAAACCAAACCCACTCCTACAGAATTGATTCAAACTCATAGTAACCTTGTATAGAGTTTCCAAGTATTAGTTTTCTCCCATGGAGTAGTTTTCCCTACTTGACAATATTTTTCTTCTTTGCCTTTTCCTCTCTCTCTCTTATCTGCTTTGGGGTATAAATAGCATCAGTCAGTTCCCAGAAATATTTTTATTCCTTTATATTACCTTAAGTCTAGGGTCCCAGTGTGGCATTGTTGTATAAATACTGGATTGCTAACTGCAAGGTTGGTGATTCAAACACACAAGCCGTTCCTTGGAAACACTTTACAGGATCACTGTTAGTCAGAACTGACTCAACGGCACTTAACAACAAGAAGTGGTGTTGTTAAGTGCTGTCAAGTAGGTTCTGACCCATAGAGACCCTGTATAGGGTTTCCAAGGAGCAGCTGGTGGGTGTGAACTGCTGACATTATAGTTCACAAACCAAGGTTGATAAGATCCCACAGCACCACACAATGGCAACTACTTGGTAAGGATTTAGGGCACAGGTTACTTACTAACACTAGAGGTTCTAATTAAAATTTATATACTTGCAAAGTCAGTAAATGTTATAGCTATTTTTTATATTAACTGTAAGTTGCTGATTATTTAACTATAAACCAGGCAATGCAATAAATTCTTTACATTAATTGTTGTTGTTATTGTTATTAAGTGCCATCGAGTTAGTATAGGATTTCTGAGGAGGGACTGGTGGGTTTGAACCACCGAACTTCTAGTTAGCAGTCCAGTGTTTACCATACAGCACCTCACTAGGACCCCACAATTAACTCTCACAACACAACTTCATGTTGCAAGTAATGTAATTATGACCATCTTATGGAATAGGGAACCTAATGTATGGAACATAAAGTAAATTGCTGGACTTCACATAGCTAGTAAATGGCAAAGCCAAGATTAAAACTTAAAAAGCACATTTAACTTCAAATTTGTGTAAATTACTATTCTAAACCACTCAGAGATTTTCCTGCAAATATTTTATACTCAATTCATTTTCACATCACTTTTACTATATTATTATTAACTATCATTTTATTCTTTCATTCAACAGACAATTATTAAGTATCAATTATGTTTTAACTTGGAGTGAAAATAAATCTTAAGTCAAATCTTGTACATACCCTACATTGTTACACAGAATGGGAAAAGGTACCAGAGCGACAAACCAGATAGCGAGATTATTAGTGCCACAGGGCATTTCAATCATCAATTTGCAATACTTGACTTCACATAGTAGCAACAGGGGGGAAAAAAGCCACATAAACGTGAGGCTGTGATGCAATTCAAACTCATGTTGCACAAGAACCAATTGTGAGGTGTACACTGATTTTCAATTGAACAGGTCAGAACACCTAACCCTACATTGTTCAAGGGGCAACAGTATGTATGAGGGGGCATTCAAAAAATCTGTGGAAACATTCCATTATTCCAACAACTTTCTGAAACTCTGTCATAGCACCTGGCACATAAGTGTAGGTTATAGTTGGGGCTCACGGTGGTTTCTGTAGGATAAGCACTGGACTGTGAACCATAAGGTTAGTGGTTTAAGCCCACCAGTTACGGCAGGAGAAAAATGAGGCTTTGTGCTTCAGCAAAGATTTACAGCCTCGGAAAACATATATAGGGTCATTATGAGTCAGAACCAACTAGCGGCACTTAATAACAACATTGTTGATGTTAATATTCAAATTTATTCATTTTCTAGCTGGCCTTTATGAGATTAACCTTTCTGTTTTAAATCACCATTTCTGTTGTTAAGTGCTATGGCGTCGGTTTCAACTCAAGCTACCTTGTATAGGGTTTTTGAGGTTTTCAATATTCTTTTTGGCAGAACAGAAAGCTTCATCTTTCTCCCTCAGAGCAACGCGTGGGCTTGAACCACTGACTTTCTGGTTCTCAGTCCAGTGATTTTCCTATGGAGTAACAGTGCTCTGTGTAGTACTTGTCACTGAACTTTATTTATCGTGTTTCTTTCTTTCTTTCAAGAATGAAGGTTGTTTGTTTTCTGATCCTCTGGTCACTTTGATTCTTTCTTAGAGAATCTTATACAATTTCATTAAAAATACTTTTGGTCCATTTAAGAAATTCAGTCTTCTCCTTTAGGTGCGGCAAGACCAGACACTCGTATTCTTCTGGCCAAAGGATACTTGTCAGTCTGAGAAGTTCTTTTGTAAGAAGGAATAAAGCCAGAGGGCTATATAAGGACACAAACATTCTGTGCGTATCTGCTTAGTTCTTTCTTTGTATCAGGCTGGACTAAGGCATTTGGCTTGTCTTTTCCACATTCACAGAATAGCGCTGATACCCACGGAGAGAACTGGGTGTCCATTTCTATTTTTCAAAATGTTAAATTGCATGTGATCCTGCACAGACCATGACAAACAGATTTCGAATAGCAGCTAGACTTTTCCCATTTTAAATAATGCTATTGAGATACATGGTTTCTACTGCTGACTAGATATCAGAATCACTTGGCATGCTAGTTAGTTAAAAATATAGACTACTTTCTGTCCTCCACCTCTTTTACTTCCGTGTCTAGCAATCTGACTCACTGAGTCTACGGTAAGGCCTTAGGCAATGAATTTTTAATAGTATTGGGAAAGAACCTGTCCTAGGTTCCTTATCTGTGTATTTAGGACATGTGGACTTGGTAATTTCATAATAATAATACCTTTTTTCTTCTAACTTGATGTTGAATATAATTTAGAAAAAGCAAAGGCCCATGTTCATTTAATAGCCTGCTTTCCTGAGTTCTGATGAAAAGAGAAGGGAAGAAAGGATGACATTTTTAAAAAAGAGCTGTCATTATTAGCTTGTTAGAGTCACAGAATTTTCAAGTCGGAAGGTTATCACAGATATAGTCCTATGTTTTCATTTCTCAGCCGTAGACAGAACTCTTTGTGACAGAAGATGAAGATGCCAACACTGACATCCTAAGACACTGTGACCTCCCCAAATTGTTATAGCTACTTCAGTGGCACCTGTGAGAGGTGGGATGCAACCAGACCACTTGTCTTTCTGCGTATCACAAGTTTTCTGCCTTTGACAGGGTGCAGCTTTAACACTTTTCTAATGTTCTCTATAAGTGGAAAATATTTGAATTTTCCTTCTCTAACAGGTGTCTGCTTTACACAGGTCTTGGCTTTTAAAGGTTTTACTAAGGTAGGAATAAAAATGAAGACTAAGCCCAATTACTCTTTATGCTGCATATGGTGGTGGTGGTTATGTGCCGTGGAATTGCTTCTGACTCATAGCGACCCTGTACAGGGTTTCTGAGGCTGTACATCTTTACAGGAGCAGAAAGCCTCATCTTTCTCCTGTGTAACAGCTGGTAGTTTCAAACTGCTGAACTTGTGGCTCGAAGCCCGATTTGTTACCACTATGCTACCAGAGTTCTATATACTTCACAGTTACTTATGTTTTCAATAATTACTTAAATTGATTGCATCTGTTTAGTAGTTTAGGACATTTCAACAAACCCAATCAAGGTTTGTTTGTAGTTTTTTCTTTTCCCCCAAACATAGATATGGTAACAATATGCATCATCCTTCTCAAATACCTTTCAGAACCACACTTTGAGAAATAAATGGCATCTTACCTTTAAGAGGCACCTTGACATCAAGGCCATAGAATAAAGGCAAGAGAGAAGAACAAGAATAGAAACAGAAACTGCAGAAGAAAAAGAAGAAGATTATGTAAATCTAGATTTCTGGAGGGCCATTCAGGTAGTAAAAAAGCTTCACCTTTCCCACACTGATCAAGTCTGATCATTTCTCACCGACATCACCAACTATCATTTTGTTTATAACAATAACTACCATACATTTCTATTCAGGAAAAGCAATGCAGTAAATACCTGGTGTTTGACTAGCATTGAGTCATGCATTTTACAATTGCCAGGAGGTTCTTGTAGATAATTGGTCTAAATAGCTACTTTTATAGTTGACAATAATAAGCCCAGAGCGATAAATCTGTATTCTAAATTCACACAATTTCATGTGTGGAAGGATATTTCAAAAATCACAAAATGTGATCAGAGTGTGTACTTAATTACTCAATGCTATTATTGTTTTGGCAATGGAACAGGCTTTAGGATGAAGGCAAAGAAGGGAGAATATTAATATGGAGGGTTAACAGGATTAATTATTCATAGTGGTACATGTCTGAGAGGGAAAGAACACACTATTAGTAATGGCAATAGGAAACAGGTATACATTGGATCTGCCATGGATTACTGAGCAGGCCTGGCCATTCTAATGACATGAACTATGTTTCCATATCACTGGACACTTCAGAAGATGAATGCATGATGTTGTTCTAATTTATCATGCTTCTGAGATTGATGTCTCCTCATTGGCTTGTGGAAGTTTAAATGGAGTCCAATTTGTCTCTCTTCATCAAAGAGTCTTCACTAGAGAAGACATTATTTAACTGGACAGACAGACACATACTTTGGAGTAATGGTATAACCAAATGCACACTAATTATTATCCAGGCCACAGGTAAGATCAGTTTTTTAAAATATTATTTCCTTGTGGATTTATACTGAATGAATCGGTAAGTTTTTTCTCGCCTGGTTTTCACATCTCAATAACATTCTGTTGTATATTATAGTGCTGATTAAGGGCCATGAATGACATTCTTATATTGGGCATGTTATTTGCATATTTTCATTAATGTTGCTGCTTATTGGGCTCTTGGGTCACAATGGCTGAATTGTATAAACAGATTATAAACATGGTGCCTTGTATTGGTAACTATTCTATTATTCTGGAGAGTAGAAACTATTTTTCCCCCTCATTCTCTGGTGATATTCATTGATACTCCTTTAAAAAACACTCTTTTTGTTTTTATCTTCCGTTGAATGGGGTCTGAACAGCATCATCAATTTTCTGGGGCCTAACTGAGAAATCTGTACCTAGACCAAGAGGCAGTTGTTCGAACAGAGCATGGGAACACTGAATGTTTTAAAATTGGGAAAGGTGTGCGACAGGGTTGTGTTCTTTCACCATACTTGTTTAATTTGTATGTTGAGCAAATAATACGAGAAGCTGGGTTCTATGAAGAAAAACGTGGCATCAGGATTGGTGGAAGACTCATTAACAATCTGCGATATGCTGATGATACAATCTTGCTTGCTGAAAGTGAAAAGGACTTGCAACATATACTTATGAAGATCACAGAGCACAGCCTTCAATATGGATTACATATCAATGTTAAGAAAACAAAAATCCTCACCACTGGACCAATAAACAGCATTCTTATCAATGGAGAAGAGATTGAAGTTGTCAAGGGCTTCATTCTTCTTGGATCAACTGTCAACACTCGCGGAAGCAGCGGTCAAGAGATCAGACGACGTATTGCATTGGGCAAATCTGCTTCACAGGAACTTTGTAAAGTACTGAAGAGCAGAGATGTCAGCTTGAGGACTAAGGTGCACCTGACCCAAGCCATGGTATTTTCAATAACCTCATATGGATGCAAAAGCTGGACAGTGAATAAGGAAGATCGTAGAAGAATTGATGCCTTTGAATTGTGGTGTTGGAGGAGAATACTGAAAGTGCCGTGGACTGCCAAAAGAACCAATAGATCTGTTTTGGAAGAAGTACAACCAGAGTGCTCCTTGGAGACCAAGATGGCTAAGCTTCATCTCTCCTACTTTGGACACATTGTCCGGAGAGAACAGTTGCTGGAGAAGGATGTCATGCTGGGTAAGGTGGAGGGTCAGAGAAAAAGAGGAAGACCCCCAACGAGATGGATCAGCCAGGTGGCATCATTGATGGCGTCAAGTGTGGCAGTGGTAGTGAGGTTGGTCCAGGATCGGACATTGTTTCATTCTGCTGTGCATGGCGAGGCTATGAGTCGGTTCTGACTCGATGGCACCTGACAACAACAACAACAACTGCCTTAACTGTAGATTTCCTCTCTGAATTGGGTTGCTGAATGAATGAGCAGAGAGTGGCTGGCACCATGAGTTGGCCTCAAAAATATGGAAAATGTAAAACATGAGGTGTGTCCTTCAACAACAAAGGAAGCCGTGGTAGCAAGACCTGCCTTCTGTGGATCTGTCTCCCTGACAAATACTGGGAAATGAGGCTCAGTCCATAGTTTATTGTTTATGACCCATTCAATACCGCACAAGGGAGTAGCACACTTCTGAAATGAAGGAAATCTAAACTTAGTATTTCTCAGTAGAATTGTCCTTTAGAGTTGAAAAGAGTTTAAATTACACTCTTTAATTTGACTCAGATTTGATGTTTCCTAATTTTCACAGAAGTGATCTCATTTGTTACTCTATGGAAGCAATGAGAGCCGGTGAAGACAAGTGTTATCTTTCTTATTTTATAGATGTAGCTTAGGCATAAAGGATGAAGTCACTTATCCAGGGTCAAATAAGTACCTACAAATCCAGCCTGTATAAGACGCTCCCTCAGGAGCTGCCTAGTGGATCTCACCAACTTCTTCTAATGTCATATAGATGGATAACTATGGAATCAAATTCTGAAAATGACAAATGGTTTCCTGTTTTCTTTTTGGATGTCTACGGAAGATACTGCAAAACAGTTACATGTATTTTCAACATGGTGATTCGGGTAACTCCTTTCAGTCAATTAGACAGGGATTCCAGAGAAAACTCTTTTGCCATTCTTGCTGTGTTTCGTAACATGGTGCTCCCAGCATCCTGGAAATGATAATTCCTTGTTGTGTAAGACTGTTCAGCTCATTGCAGGATGTTTACCCCTGTCTGATCTTGGCACCTTTCTCCAACAATTCCAAAAGTCCCCTTTAATAATTATTATTTTAGAATTGCTCTGTTAGATGGCACACAACAACGGTATATCCAAAAAGTTTGTTGCATGACTTGAAAAAAGCAAGTTATTCTTTCAGACCACTGGAGAAATAACTGGAGACAACAATTACATAATTACAATGTGCCATGAAATTACTTCTCAGGTGAAACTGGAGTAAGTGTTTAGTGCTTTTCACAAAAGCACAGGAAGAAACAGCTTTTGTGAATCATAACAGGAAGGAATTTTTTTTAATGGTACTAAAAAGGTTTTAAAAAGGAAAGCGTCGTATAGAGTAAGATAAAAGAAAAAAAAAGAAACCTTTGGGAATGAAATGAAAATGAGGAAGGGGAAATGAGGCAATAAAACACGTATAGAAAAGAAAAATCAATACAGAGGGCAAAAGAACCAAGTCCGGATGGCAAATCTATGATCAGAATCCAGGTACCTGACTAACCGTGAATTGTGAATTTATGTAACTACAAAGGGATAAGTAAGACACACAACTGTGAACACAGAAAGAAACACATTCAGCAAAATCAATATTATATTCTGATAAAACAGATATAAAGATTAACATAACTATTCAACTTAGCACATACCTTTTCCTCTAAGTCCTTTATTTGTCTTTTCTGGATGTCTGTTTTATCTTCTAAGTCTCTAATTCTCTAAAGAAAGGAAGAAAAACAAGACAGCATTAGTGTACAAAAAATCATTCACTAACCTGGAACACAAAACTTTCCATTAAAAACATTAACATTCGTACCATCAGATGGAAACATCACATACAGGTAGCCCCTGACTTATGATAAGCTTCCATGCTAATGACTCCACCATTAAGTAGGTTCTGACATGAATAAGTTGGATGCTGTTGTTAACTGCTGTGGAGTCGGTTCTGACTCATAGTGACCCTGTTTCCGAGAAGTGGCTGATGAGTTTGAACTACCAGGCTTGTGGCTTGTAGTACAGTGCTGATCCTACAGCATCACACCATGACTCCAAATAAGTTTGATACCTCACCAAAAAAATGTTTTTCTTCATTATGTTCTTTTGTTATCAACCTCTATAAATTTGATCTTTATTTGTTTTGGGATGGTTGACATTTTATATATAAACTTACAGATATATCTTAATATGCAAATACATAAAAACAACAAATCATAAAAATTTATGATCCGACAATGAAGAACAGTTGGATGATCCTGGCAATTTATCAGTTCTAGCAGGTTCTGGATCATCTATATTATCTCTGGGAAAGGAGATTGTGTTTCTAGTTAGAATATTGGTACAATGTGTCTGGGTGGTCCTTGTCCTCTTCTCTTTATTTTATGGTAACATATTTTCCTGAAGCCAATTGACTTTAGTGAAATAATAAAAACCTGTTTCCAAGTTTTCAAGCAACTGAAGTCTCTGCTTTAGTTTAGGAAAAACTTCAGCTACTCCTTTCACTGTAAAGTATTTTAACAACTTCTCTCCTTCATTTTCCTCATGATTTCTTTCTTCTTCAGCATTTCTTTCCACTTAAAAATGCAGTAAATCCTGATCTATCAATCCCCTTCTTTGTGATCTATGAGCTATTCCACATTGGTGGTATCAAGTTCTAAATTCAGTGCTCATCTTATATGGACAATTTTTCTCAACAATCTCATTCATCATATTATCCTGCTCAAACACTTGGAGAGTTTTCACATAACTTAGCAACTTTTCTTCCCCATATCTCCTGTAGATATTTTCTCAAGAAGATAAAATATTCTGGAAAGACTGAAGAATATTGTAAATTCTTCAATAAATCATGTAATATTACTACTGTACTACCATCTATTACAGTTATTGCATGAGCAAATGTAGTCCATAGGTAGTATGCCTTAAAGGTCATGATTATACCTTGATCTACAGTCTGAATCACAGCTACTGAATTGGGAGGTAGATACAACATGTTCACATTTTAATTTAGATCATCTATGCGAGGAGAGGAATCCTGGTGTGGTACTGCAGGAGGAATGCAATGTCAGTTTGAACCATAAGGTGGTGGTAAAAATCCACCAGCTGCTCTTCGGAAACCCAATACAGCATTGCTCTGGGTCAGAACTGGCTTGAAGGCACTTAACAACAACAACATGGGAGGAGGATGTCCTGTGCATCACCAGGTAATGACTTTGGAGCTTATGTACAATTTGACTGTGTACTGAGTTGAACATTGCCTAGCTTTCCTATCTTCATTATGTCTCCCAAAATTGACATCAATTGCACTGTAGACCAGGCCAGAGTCTGCTATGCAACAATTTTTTGAAAGTAAACATGGAATATCTAAGAATGATAACATGCGCAAATATGTGCTGCAACATTGGATGTAATATTCACATAAATTATTCATGATAAGAGATACAAAACCAGAAACAAAGTAGACAGTTCTAAGTGTGGTTCATCATAAATCAGGGATTATTGTTATTAAGTGTCGTGGAGTCAGTTCTGACTTACAGCAACCCTGTATAGGATTTCCAATGCTTTCAGAATCATTGTCGGTGCAGAAAGCCTCATCTTTCTCCTGAGGAGTGACAGGTGGGCTTGAACTGCAACCTTGTGGGTCACAGTCCAGTGTTTATTGTATAGAGCCAAAGTACTCCCCTAAGTCAGTTTTATGTGGATATATTTTTCTTTACCTAGAAGACAGTTGCATGTTTTAAATGGAAAATCACTGTCACTGATTATAATTTTTACAAAAATTTGCTGCGCTTCTATCTAGACCTATCCTTTCCCCAAGAAAGAGATATAGTCCCCACCCCATTGTCCTTAAGCTTCATGTGAGATGTGGAAAGACCACAGAAAAATATAAATGTGTATTTGGGAGTAGAATTCTTTACTTTAATGAAAAAAAGATCTCTCTGAAGATACCTATGTAGTGCAAATGATAAGAAGAAAGCAGTCACACAAAGATCTTGGCAAAGTGTTCTGAAAAACAGGGATAGCAAAGACTTAGTCCCAATAATGAGACTAAGTTTGAAATCTTCAAAGATTAGAGAAAAGAGGGCAGTACCACAGGAATATAGAGAGTGAGGATGATCGGAGGTGAGACAGACAGACAAGATAGGGCCAGGTGATATAGGGTCTTAAAAAGCAAGCTAACTCTTTCCTCTTCTGCTTCCCCATCCCCTTAAAACTCAGTACTGTTTTGATGAGTTTATCTTTTAGGAGTTCACACTAACTGCTGTTCATAGATGTAGGTCGGACAAGATTAGAAGCAGGGAGAACCATTCAAAACTACCAAAAGTCCTGATAAGAGTTGATGACGTGGTGTATTTGATAGCAATTGAAAGCAGTCTACTTTTAAGATTAAAGCCTCGGAAACCTTAGGGAGCAGCTCTCCTCTGAAAGGTCACTGTGAGGTCACTATGAGTCAGAATCTACTCAGTGTCAGTAGGGGAGTTAACATGCTCAAATCTCTTTAAATATTAGAAACTGGTGATGCAGTTGTACATTGTTTTTGCCAATGTGCCCATTTTTTACCTCATTTTATTATTCCCTGTGTTTTTAATCTTGTCTGTCAATCTGAATCTGATAGCTCACTGAGATTAGAAACTAATTGATGTTTCACATCAATTATATCTAGCAGAGTCCTGAATGAATAAGGAGGTGCCCAATAAGCACAGATCTGACTGTGGAGTATGTAATACAATAATTTAACACATTGATGATTTGCTCAATAGAATACTTGCTTCCTGGTGTGGCACTGCAGTATAAGTACTGCACTGGAAGGTGTGTTTAAACTGTAAAGTCGGTGGTTCAGAATCTCAATCTCTTCAAAGCACACCATCTTTCCTGCACAAACCTCAGTCTCCCAACTATTGGCATTTTGGGGTAGATATTTCTTCTCTGTGAGGTGTATTGTAGCCTGTTTAGCAGTATCTATGGCTTAAAAGTGCTGTCGAGTTGATTCTGACTCATAGTGACCCTGTATAGGGTTCCATGCCCGTAAATCTTTGTGGGAGCAGAAAGCCTTACCTTTCTCCTGTGGACTGGCTAGTGGTTTTGAACACAGACTTTGTGATCTGCAGTCCAGTGTTTATCCTGTAGAGTCACTGTGCTCCCTAAGCTGTCACACCAGTTCTAATGAGATTTGATGGTGGTTGTTAAGTGCTGTCGAGATGTTTCTGACTCATAGTGACCCTGTATAGGGTTTCTGAGGAGCTGCTGGTGATCTTGAACTACTGACCTTGCAGTTCAAACAGACCTTGCAGTCCAGCGCATTAACCTACAGTACAATACCAGAATGAAAGATGACAATTAAAAGTGCAAATGGTTCATGTTCAACCATTTCAAGAGGTAGCACATGATCAAGAGCCAATGATACTGAAGGAGGAAGTCTAAGGTGCATTGAAGGAATTGGCAAAGAACAAGGCACCAGGAATTTATGAAATAAAAATTGAAATCTTTCAAGAAAGTGAGGCGGCACAGGAGGCACTCACTCATCTCTGCCTAGAAATTTGGAAGACAACTATCTGGCCGACTGAGTGGAAGAGATCCATATTTGTGCCCATTCCAAAGAGAGGTGACCCAATGGGATGCGGCAGCTCTGGAGTCACTCACTCATCTACGCCAACAAATTTGGAAGACAGCTACCTAACCAACAGATTGTAAGAGATGTGCTCATACCAAAGAGAGGCGACCCAAAGGAATGTGGAAATCATCTGAGGATATCATTAATAGCACATGCCAGTAAAATGTTGCTAAAGATAATTCAAAAACTGCTAGAACAGTACATTACAGGGAACTGACAGAGGTTCAAGCCAGATTCAGACAGACAAGGGCTATCATTGCTGACATATGATGGATCTTGGCTGATAGCAGAGAATGCCAAACAGATGTTTACCTGTGTTTTATTGACTACGCAAAGGCTTATTACGTGTGGATCATGACAATCTATGGACATTATTGCAGAGAATGAACATTCCAGAACACTTAATTGTGCTCATGAGGAAGCTATTCAAGAGGCATGCATTCAAACAGAATAAGAGAACATTGAATGGTTTAAAGGTAGGAAAGGTGTGCACTAGGGTTGTATTCTTTCAGCATACTTATTCTATCTGTACACTGAGCAAATAATCTGAGAAGCTGGATTATATGAAGAACACCACATCAGGATTGGAAGATGGCTCATTAACAACCTGTGATATGCAGATGTTACAACCTTGCTTGCTAAAAGCAAAGAGGACATGAAATATTTACTGGTGATGATCAAAGACCACAGCCTTCAGTATGGGTTGTAGCACAATGTAAAGAAAACAAAAATCCTCACCACTGGATCAATAAATAATATCATGATAAATGGAGAAAAGATTGAAGTTGTCAGAGACTTCATTTTGCTTGGATCCACCATCAACACTCATACAACAGTAGTCAAAAAATTGAACACCATATTGCATTAGACAGATCTGCTGCACAAGACTTCTTTAAAGTGGTCAAGTGTGCAGATATCACTGACCCTAGCATGGCATTTTCAATAGCCTCATATACATATGAAAGTTGGATAATGGATAAAGAGGACTATAGAAGAGCTGATGCAATTGAGTTACGGTGTTGGAGGAGTATATTAAAAGTACCATGGACTTCCAAAGGAACAAACAAATCTGTGTTGTAAGAAGTACAACCAGAATGCTCCTTGGAAGCCAGGATGGCCAGACTCCCTCTCTCATACTTTGGACATTATTAGGAGAGACCTGTCCTTGGAGATGGACATCATACTTGGTAAACTGAAGTGTCCGCATAAAAGTGGAAGATTCCCAAGGAATTGTATTGGCACAGAGACAGCAGCAATGTCCTCAAGTATAACAACGGTTTTGACATTAGCACAGGACTGGGCAATTTCATTCTGTTGCTCATAGGGACACTATGAGTTGGAAACAACTCGATGGCACCTAAGAACAGCAGTAATGATGAAGGGCCTGAAGAGACCTACAAAGGTCTTAACTAGAAATGAAGCTTTTGAGCAGAAATATAACATGAAGAAAGAGGAGATAAATCTGTAATGGTCTGCATGACAACCAAAAACAGGACAGGTGAAGTTTATCCCACAACTGCTTCCCAACAGTACACTCTATATGCTTTTCTTGTTCCACATATGGAATTATGTCATAATTTGTCTTCTTTGTCTTCATTGGATCCTAAGCATTGTGAGGCAGGATCTATTGATGAGTTCTGTATGTTCAGCATGGAATGAAACACACAGGAAACGGCATTGAAGTGTTTCATTGAATGAATGTGTAGACGATGAGGTCGAGTTTCCTCAGACAACATTTGGCAGCACTGGAAGCCACTGTAGTAATAAGGGATCCTGAGCATTTTTAGGGTGACACGTGAACATAGGATAGACCCATTTCAAAAGTAATTTAGGAAAAATGCCAGCTGGACATGGCGCTACATTAACTATTGGAGGGTAAAGTCAGAAGACGCCAGTGTTTCTGGCTTTAAGTGATTAGGATTACTATAAATTGGATGTGAAGTGATGGCCCATAAAAATAAGAAGGCAGGAAGGGAGGAGGGAGGTACGGATAAAAATGCATATTTATGTTTCATTTGAGTTTATTCGGAGCCATATAAATAAAAATGTCTACTGGTTAGTGATATGCTCTAGAATGTGGCACTGTAGGATAAGTACAAGACTACTAGCCACAAGGTCAATGGTTCAAAACCACCAGCCCCTCCTCGGAAACCCTACACAGGGTTGCTATAAGTTGGAACCAACTCCATGGCACTTAAACAATAGCAACAAACATATTCCAGAAGTCAGTGCCTTCTGGAATAATTCTATCAAATTAAGCCACTGAATGAAAAGGCAGGGGGATGCAAAAGAGAGAACTGAGATAAAGAATATTTTAATGAATATTTGTTTGTGACAGAGACAATGTCAGTAGAACTCAGAGAGGTTTGGAAATATCATATGCCTATCAACTCAGACTGAATATCTTAAAACACAACAAAACAACCCAACAAACAGTACCAAGACCTTTAGGAGTGATACGCCTTAGTTAACTAGTTAAAGAGAGACTCAGAAGTGCTAACAAGGCTTTAAGCATAAATAAATTGAGATAATTCTGTGCTCATCTAAGAAGGAAACACTTCCGTGGTGTCATAACATGACTCCCAGTTTGCTGAGATAAACTAGTAAGCACTATTTCAGCAAAATAACTTTTTGTAGAGAGTTACTTTCAACCTCTGATAGAAGAAAAGGGTCCCTGAAGTAATGAAATGATGCCATAGAAACTACCCTTGTTGTTGTTGTTAAGTGCTGTCAAGTCAGTTCCAACTCATAGCAACCCTATAGAATTTCCAAACACCAGCTAGAAGGTTTGAATGATCAACCTTGTGATTCATTGTCCAGTGCTGATCCTACAGCACCATACCGGGAGTCCAGAGAGACTATCATTAGAGACCTTAACAATTCTTTCCATGGGATAAAAATCTGAAGTTTCGTGCTGGATTCCAAATGGTTGTTAATATAAAAAAGCATACATTGGCATCTCTGAGACAAACTGCCTCAAAGTTCCCTGCTAACTCTGATGATCTGTTCACCTGTGGAAACCCAAAAACCTCTTGGATGCATCTGAAGCACGTTATCACGTTTCTCATGAACGTTCTTAGCGGTGTTCTTAAATAACCCCTGTTCCTTTTCTACTCATTTGGTCTCTGATATCACCTGATCAGTAACTCTTGTATAGCCCATCTGAAGTTTGTATTAGTTGCTTCTTATAACTTTTGAGGACCAAATACTACACTCTGACAATTTTAATTCTGAAACTCTTAGGGAATTGCCTTTTGACTAGGGTTAAGTCCTCACCTATCAAGCTATGGCATGATAACATTTTTCAAATGGCTAAAAATTAATATTGGGTGTCTGTTTTGAGCCTTCCTGATCTAACTGAATCACAAAAGTCATAGATGACCCTAGCGACATATGGCAGTGTGGCTTTGGAGTCAGGAAGACCTGGGTTGTAATCCTGGCTCTGTTACTTACTATCTGTGTCTTCCTGGACAAATCACTTAGGCATTCATATCCTCATTATCATTATCTCCAAAACTGGGATAATAAGAATACTTATTCCATAAGGCTATTGTGAAGGTTAACTTGAAATGATGTAAGAACAGACCTTAGTTTAATTATAGACATAGTAAGTAAACAGCAATTTCCAGCCTTTGTAGCTGTTGCTATTCATCCTAGAGATAAAGAAAAAGGCTTTTGTTCTTGTTTACCCTATTCAAGTTTTTTATTAGACTAGGTTATCTATCGACTGGGATGAGTAATCAAAAGGAATCATTACTTCTTCCCTGGAAAGAAGCCTGCTTCCCTGAATATGGATGATACTTAAGTTCTATGAGATTGAAGGTAATTTCATCACAAGGTAGCTCTACAATATGCAATATGTCTCTGAAACACCAGCATTCTCAAGATGGAGTCATCACAAAATTTTCATCTTGTATCTGAGTGAAGGTTATTGGTGAAGAAGCAAAACAAATGTTATTTATTTTATTCTCCAAAAGAGCATACAATATATCACACGTTCTCCAGGAGATGTTGGTACATTGTACTTAGTATGTTGTGCTAAGTCCAATTTACTTAGCACTAACCCTATGTAGTTAACAACAACAACAACCCTATGCAGACATAATGACTCAGTTCTCACCTGATGGGCTTGCTGTAAGAGTTCCATTCGCTCCTGAAGAATCTGACAGTCGTATTCTCTGCTCTTTCTCAGCATCTGCCGCCGTAACTTTTCTACCGCTGTTCTTAGCTCCTCTTGCTGCTTTTCACTTAGTAGTTCACCAAACTTGATGACAGTTTCTTGCTGCAGAGCATTGTACAAAGTGGCTTCTAGTTCCTGGATTCTCTGGCAAACAGAATTATAAAGGTCAAATGTTGGCACTTAATAGAATTTCTATGTGATATGAATATTGCATATATATATATATATGTACATGGTAATGTATGCATTAATTGATTCTTACAGATCTTTCAATAGAAGACATTTCAAAGGTTATGCAGCCTAAATATCTTTCTGATAGCTCTCCTTTATAATATGCATCAGGGTCATCCAGCAAATATATGAACTTCCCCAGTGATGGAAATTTGTTCTGTTCCTTGAGATGCTATTCATTTCACACACCTTTCATTCTTAGAAAATCCTTATTTTGTTATGAAAACCATATATAATTTTATTCTGAAACGTAGCTGAGCGTAAGTTTGTTCTCACTTCGGTTTGACAGCCCTTCAGGTATTTGAAGCCACTCATCATGGTGGTCACACTTCTCGGAATAACTACTGAGAAAGAGATCTAAGCTGAGATAAAATACATTAAATTGGAACTATACTCCACGCACACACAAAATGCCACTCTCTTCCATATGACAAGCCACTGGATTGAGAATGGCTTTATGGTGTCCATACATTTCATGGAAATAAAAATGGAAAACTATGATCTAAAAAAAAATGACTTAGTTTTTATAAGTGGGTCTGCTTTTTATATGCTAAAATTTATTAGCTATTAAAGGCCTCCCTGAATCTTTTCTTTTGGATGGTCAGCTGCCCTTCAAGTGGCCACAGACAAGACAGATTTCTAGTCCTCTCCCTAAACCATTTTCTGTTTATTTTAAATATGGTTCAATTATAGAACGCATGACAGATTTCTACAAAACCAATGATCTTTTCATTTCAAATACCTTATTTAAACAGCATAAGTGATGACTAAACACATGGACCTCACCAGATGGAATACATAGAAATCAACCTGAATACATCTGAGGAAAGAGAGGATGGAAAAGCTCCATATCAACATTCAAAACAAGGCCAGGGGAAGACTGTGGAACAGACCATCAATTGCTCATATGCAAATTCAAACTGAAGCTGAAGAAAATGAAAACAAGTCCACGAGAGCCAAAATATGA